AACTATGCATCCGCCCTTTGTCCTGATTTTTAGCACTTGTTCTGTTCTGGGTCACTGGTGAACTGAGGGCTATCCGGGCTGACTTGGGGTGAACTAGTAACTAATTAACAATCAATCAGATGACATGTGGACAAACAAACATTGAGTCATAGTGAACGACCAGAGCTGTGGCCTGTCATGGCAGCAACCCCTGAACCTCTTGGTGGACAATTAAAGAATGTTGTCAAACTGAAAGGAGTCCGATTAGCCCTTTTTTGGCCGATGGGGGAGTGTGAAGGCAACTGATGGGTAACGGCTGGCCGAGTAAAACGCAGCCTTGGCATTCACCAAGGCAAAAACTCGAGCATGGGAAGAGTTTGGTGTGGCTGTGGAAAATGACTTCCGGATGGCTTCAAAGAAATTTTGGTCCACCATCCGGCATCTCAGGAGGGGAATACAGTGCATCATTAACACTGCGTACAGTTTATAGTTTTACACCTTCCAAGGGATTTAAACATTAGTACACAGGCACGTATACCACATTATCAAAATGATATGGTAAAGTCGCTGAATGTATAGCATTACAGGGTATGTTGGATGTCATAAGTGCTGAACGCTATCAGACAAATAAAATGGAGGGCCCGGTGAATGGAAATGTGCGACCCACCTTGAGTCCAATCACGTTCTGTCCATTGATCTCACAGATGTAATGGTCAGTCAGCAGGCCATTGCGGGCTGCAGAGCCATCCTTGACCAATGATGTGATTTTACCAGACTTGTAGATGAAGCCCACGTGGCCCGAGCTGTCTTTGTGCATGGTGACAGTGCGTTGAAATGGCCTAGTGAGAGACAGACATATGCGTTTTTAACCAGCCAGCAGAGGGAGCCAAAGTACATTTAAAAATAAGACTTGGACTTTAACGTTCCCCAAAACTTGCAAGAAATCTTTTTTTTAATTCTCAGCACTGCACCACGTGATGTCAGTTTTTTTTTTGTGTACAGTTACTCAACACCATGTTTTGTGCACATGCGTGTCATATCACTAAAGCGTTGTGTTCAAATTCGAAGTCATATCTGTTTTTGTAATGTCAACGACATAAAAAGAACGGACTTAACAAAAAAAAAAAATCCAAATTGGGCATTGCTCTACTACAGCGTGAATGTAGCCAAAGAGATGATCTCACCTGTCACGGACAATAAGCTCAATGTGGGTCTCTGCTGCAGCTTTCAGGACCTTGTGGGCCTTATCAACACTCCACCCCGCACAGTTCTGGCCATTAATCTGAAGAACCTGGTCCCCAAAGCGCAGCCCAGCCAAAGCGGCCGGGGAGTTGGCCTGCACCAGCTGGATAAACACTCCCTAAAATGCAGAGACAGCAGTGCAAATACAAATAAGCCCAAGGAAACTCAAGAATGGATGCTGAGACGGCTGAGACCACAAGGGAGAGAAGAACAGGCATCTTGCGTGAACTACTGCTATTTGGAATGCAAATAAATGTTCCTGAAATTGTGGCCTTATACAAATTAAGGACTCCTGCCTTTCTCTAACAAAGATTGGTCAATGGTTGCAGTTGAGGAAATAAACAACCCAGGCCACAAAGTAGAAATAACACAAATGCGTGTAACCCAAAGCAACATGATTTCCAATGGCCATCAAAACGTTGATCAATGCTGACTCACGTTGTCGATTGCCCTGAGGCGGAGTCCGACCTTACTGTCCTGGTCCTTGCAGAGAATAATTTCCCGCAGCCCCTGGCGAACCTCAGCTCTCCTGATGCCGACATCCGTCCCCGTCACTGGACACACCATCCCCCCGACACCTGAGTAGGAGGGCACTGCCACTTGCTGCAGGTGGAGTGGGGGGTAAAAAAAGGAGATTGAAATCAAGTAGTTGACAGGAGAGGAAGGATTAGAAATTTGGGGGGGGGTTAACACTAAACTTCAGCATACAGGGCTGGCAGATTATAAAAGAAAAATCATAATTAATTTTAGTGATACTGAAGCCACAATCAATAAACACAATTATTCATCAATTTCAAAACCCATTCAACTACCAAAGTCGATAATATGTCATATGTCAGCCTAGTAGTTTGCTGGGAAACACTTGACACGTGCGCATTGTTTGACCTCCAGAAAGAAAAGAACTGAGCATCATATATCGGTTTAAAACGTAACATACTATGCAAGTAACGTCACTCAGCCGGACGTCGTAAATGCAGTGAATGTTCTCTTTGAGTGAGTTGTGCTATAAATACCACTTTGTTGTTTTAACTGTCATGTACTCACACATGCCCCAGAGGAATACTTAACACCCATGAGCTTGTCTGCCAGTTTCATGGACAACTGTGTTTAGCGCTCATGTTGCAACTTCCACGCTGTGGTTTTCAAAATGTCATAAATACACAAACATTCAACCTGTTTTGTTTCAGGCTACATGAAGAATGTTGACATGAAAACGGCCTGCCATAAGGGCAAACTCCTTGTTAAGTAAAGAATGGACTTAATTGGAGTTTGGAGAGCGACAAAACATGCCTCACACTTACATTGTTGGCTGCGGGCAACAAGGCCAAGTTCCTCTGCACCTCATCGCTGTTGAGGATCAGGCCCATGTATTCTCCCAGCTCCTCCAGGTTTGGGTACAAGCCTATAAGGGTCAGAACAAATATATACAGTATGGTCAAATGTTTGAAAAGAGCACCATTCCAACTGCGTCTCACTAAAAAATCGCAAAGGTCATTTTGTCAGACATGAATGTGTAAGCTTTGATTTTCATGATCGGGGCACATTTGCACCTCGATTCCTAACTGCTATATTTTATCCTTCAACTACACTGGCCGTAATCAAAAAGCATTGCAAATTCATTTCAAATTCCCAATGGATTTCCATGATAACTGCAACAAAAATTACTTTATGGACTACAATGTTCGAGAACTTTTGTCCCACTTTGCAACTATTCTCAACTGTGTCAAACTGAGCCACACATCACTATAGACCTTACCAGTCAGGGTTTGCTTGTAGGAAATCGTTCATGTCATGTTATTTCATTTGGTCAGTGGGTGGTTCAGGTTCATTGCAGCACTTACAAGGAGGGACAAGTTAGATGCAGGTCAATTGTGTTTGTGTCACTTGAAGCACAGTAACAGGAAAGATACTGGCCAAATTGAAGAATGGAACTGCTGAAAAAAAAAAATCACAATAATTCAGCCTGAACTCCTCCACTGGCCTAAAATAAAGCTCGCCATATGTGCTTGCGATCAGCTTGTTCTTGCAATGTCATAATCAGGTGTGCATATAAAAACGTTGGTGTGGTTTTCAAGTGAGCACCAGAAGTTAATGGTGCTCATTTTTTTGATTCATGGCATACCGAAGCAAAGTAGGGCCTGCGGGCCACATCCGGACCATCGAAAGTTTCTGACCAGCACCCGCAGCTTTTATGCAGTCAAAATCAAACGTCAAATATGTGCTGTTTTTATTTTTTCATGTGCATGCGTTTCAGCAAACACTAGCAGCGACTTGGTTTCAGTGTTGCCAACTTCGGGATATTGTCGCCGTATTTCATGATTTTTTTGCCACCACTCTAGCAACTATTTTCAGCGGCAAAGCCAATTGTGGTACTAATGTTAGCAACATTGTTATTTCCTGCTCGATGAAAGGAAGCGTGGAACTTGCCCTGAGATTGTTTTGAGAGTCCTAAGAGCAGCTGAAAGTGGTCTGTGCCACTCAGAATTCAGGTTACTGTGAGGACACTGTAAAAACATGTCGACTGTAGACATAATTTTGTTGAAATTGGATTAAATCATGTAATGTGACAATTTTTTTTAATTCGCAATTGTGACAGCACATACCATATACGTCTCTTGTGTTGCACATGCTCAACTGCAGTTGTCAGTTAGGCCAGCTACCACAACCGTTCTTTAATACGGTACACTACAGACTAACTTCAAAACGAACACCTAACAAGTAATACTGGCACATAAATCAATGCCTTATTAGGCTCATTTTGAAGTTGGCCCTCGCAGCAAACATTGCGGCTGGCTTGACTTCCTGTTTTTCGACTGGAGGCTGGCTTGACCACAGTCCCTTTGGCGGCTGAGCCAATGCGCACTGACGCAATCAGATCTGGCATGGATATGAATATTCACAGCGCGCATGCGCACCTGCGCACCACTGGTCATCATCCAGGTTGTTGTGCTCTTGTATCAAAGTGGGGTTGCTATTTTCCTGTCATTCTCTTCTATAATTTTGAATATATCCTTGTTCCGATACACAAGCCATGCTGGTTGATGAGAATACATCGATTGTCCTCTTAGATATTAGCATGTCTGACCATGATTGATGTCAGTCTGAATGTGTCGCTTTCGCTTCCTCTTTGAATTCCTCTTCCACATCGGGAAAGGAAAGCCCCTTCATCTATCCCTTCTTTTGAATCCTCCACTCCACTTCCCTGTCTTTATTCAATCGTGCCCCATTCCAGTACAGCAAAACAGCCGGGGCCCATCTCCATGGGGACGCGCAGCTAGCTGAGGTGAAAAACAAAAGACCCAATGCCCACAGGACTCAAGGGAATGAGTGGAACAAGTGAAAGAGCAAATCACAGAACTTACTTCATGATCGTATATCATCACTGAACACATTAAGAGAGCTGCTGAACTTTGTATGAACCGTCATTGATGATTTCATTATTTGTGTACTCAATAAAAATAAATAAATAATAACAACAATAAGAATAAAAATGGCAGCCATGGTTAATAAAATGAAATAAAAGAAGATTGTAGCCCAGCAGTTAATATTTCAAGCTCAGAGTTTTTGTGCAGGGAATTTTATGACAGACTTGAATCGCACGAGTTCACATTGTTTCAATTTGGAGGTTGCACTATATCCTCAAGTTGAAAGAAAAGATGAAACTTACAGGATGAAGGCATCCCAGCAGTGACGGGCTGTTGCTGGTCACCTCCTTCGGTGATGGCTGGCATGGCAGCAGTGTTGGTGGTGGTGTGGGCGAATTGGGCCTGGGCCTGAATGGTAATCAGAGAGAGCAGTCGGGTTATGGAATACTGCTAAACTTTAATTTCATATTCTAGGTGTTCAATGACAACAGTTTGTGGATGGCACGAACACAGTCTGGAAGATGAATCAGCCAGCCGCCACACCGCGACACGCTGCCTGGACAGCATCAAAATAAAAGCGTACCGAGGCATTGATGTCCATATATCATTTGGTAATGTAAGGTTTATTTTGAAGTCGGCCTTCTTACTGAGTTGGCGACGTGTTACTGTTAAATTTTGCATTTTAGTTGTGTTCTACAAAAAATATATATATTTGAGAGTGTGAGTTTGTGAATGACAATTCATAAACTGGTGAGGACTTAATTAGTTAAAGTTATGTGTGCGTGGTTTATTACAACAGAGTCTGGATCCAGTCATCACGTCCTTACCCTTTCGGAAACAAAGGGACCTGGCGACAATTTGTTGAAGTGTGTTTGACTGACACATCATTCAAAAGCAACAAACACATTATACACATAGAACACAAATAAAACTGGTTTTCACTGGGTGTTTAGCTTCAGTATTGCGACAGGAGGTCTCCTCCCGTCGACACTGTGTAGCTTAGGAGTTCACAGAGGTTGCATTACGTTCAAAAGCCCAAATCATCACATGATTGTCATCAGACAGTGAGGCGACAGACTCTGCAATTATGGGTCAATTAACATCAATGTGCAGAGATATGGAGAGCGAGAGCACAGATGTGTCAGACAGGAGGAACACTGTGAGGACGTCAAAAAAAAAAAAAAAAAAATTGCGACAGGAGGTCTCCTCCCGTCGACACTGTGTAGCTTAGGAGTTCACAGAGGTTGCATTACGTTCAAAAGCCCAAATCATCACATGATTGTCATCAGACAGTGAGGCGACAGACTCTGCAATTATGGGTCAATTAACATCAATGTGCAGAGATATGGAGAGCGAGAGCACAGATGTGTCAGACAGGAGGAACACTGTGAGGACGTCAAAAAAAAAAACAAAAAAAAAAACAAGTCATACATTATTAAAAAGGCTTGAGTGCGTTTCATTGGCTTCAACCTCACGTCTGTGCCAGAAGATTCGCATTAGCATTGGGAGCATCGAGCATGATGTTGACCCATTTGCTGGAACCACGCCTCAATCACATTTGAGATTAGAAAAAATATGCTGTGTAACCATTTGGGCCAATTTCTACTCAGGTCCCAGAGATTGTAAGATGCGCAGCTTACCTTCATCACCTTGTCGACCTTTAGGTCCTCGAGGGATGGATACAGAGACATCCTGCCTGGGAAAACACAAGATGGGCGACACACATGTTACGGAACAACAAAGGAGCAAGCAAGCAAGCCAAACGTGAATGTTTCAAGGCTCTTTGATGGTGAAAAGATGAGGGTAGGAATAAAGTAATGATATTGTGCCACTGCAATGTTATCTCTCAGAGTACAGTAATAAACACAAACATCAGACAGATGCCAACAGTTACTGTCTTATGTCTAAATATGTACAGTTGCAAACTAAATGGCAGGTAAGATTAGTAAATATCAGGATGCTCCTCCATGCCATTGTTTTCTTTTTTTTAAAATACAAAACGTATTTCAACAACCAATCGAAACATGTTTTTAATGATTGGCTGCGAAAGGCCATATTGGATAATGAGTGTAAATGTTTTGAGCAAATGTGGGTGATTTTTTTATTTTTATTTATTCAGTTTTTAAATGTTTACTTAATGACTCTCCACATTTACTTATACTTATAAACCAACGGCATGATCCTTGCATAATCACCTGCATTGGAAAAAAAAAAATCATTCAACTGAATTGCATTATGGCTATATTACCCAAGTCAAAGTGCAGCATTACATAAACTAATAGGTTGGTGATCTGTTGCTATAAATATGACGTTAGTCTAAGATACAGGAGCGCGTGTATCTTGAGTCAATTATTCCAGACAACATTATTTAGCATGAGCAAAGTGTCAACGTACGAACATCAATGTGCTGCACGTACACGTCAGAATGAATCGCGTCAGCTGTTGTGTCATCTCAAATGGCTCCAACACTTGAACTTCATTTGAATGTTGTGTGTCGCCGCTTTGGTAACGCGCGGTCTCGAAAGGACAAAATAACACTCTCATTCTGTCAAAATGTCGGCATATGGAGAATAAAATAGAAATCAATACGGGCGGGACACCCACGCAACACTAAAAAAAAAAAAAAAAAGCACTGACACGAAAAGAGGAAATGAAAGTAAACAGTCAACTGACTGACATTACATGCAGTACGACAGGGCAGGCAGAGGCACGCCGTGCAGTCGCAAGCAAGAAAAAACAAAACAGATGTTCAGTGTCAGGGAAAGAATGGTGGAATAGATGCCATTCTGTCCACGTTTTAAAAATTCATTAGCTTTTTTTTTTTTCCTCAAAGGGTTCCACAATCACTGCCACAAAAATGAGCAGGAATATTTGCATGTTAAACACGGATGTTAACTTATGTAACAAAGCAGCAATGTTTTCAACCGATGATCAGAAAAATAAATACATGAAAAGCCTGATCAGTGTTTTTCTCCAACTGGTAATCTGAAAATATTTCTTTCAAGTCCATTAAAGAACTTTTAAAACCTGTGAAGGCCATTAGAGGTGTTGGTGATTCGGTCTCAACTAGCTTGTGGACTGAAAAACAACAATGACATCAGCTAAGGCATACATGCATTCAGGCTCACACGACGGCAACTATTTCAGGCGGAGTAAATCAGCTCAATGCAACAATGACAGAAATACATGAGTTCGGAATATTTTACGGTCTCGACACCTGGACAGGATCATCACTATTTCCCAAATTAATTTGCAAACTACAACAAATAAAAAAAGGCAGAACAGCTTCTGGGAATAGATTGTTTGGATGAGATCTTTGCTCGGGCTTTTGATTCTTCCCCTCCCGTCTTTTTCTGACAAAAGGCAGCAAAAAAACAAACAAAAAAAAGGAAGCATTACTAATTCCTCACCATCAAAACATCACAATCACGAGATGTGACCCAATCATTTCTCCAGAAAAGTGTCAAACCTAATAAATCACCAAAGCATTGATTGAGTCCTTACATGAAGTGCATCATTTCGACCACAATCACAACAGTGTCTGTGAGGTCAGGCACTCATAGCAACCGCTGACTTTTGTCCTCTTACACACTACACCATTGTCTTGGCCGAGAGAGAGGCCCATTTGAAGACAGCTCACTGTTTACTTTCCATGAGCTGTGTTATGTTTGCCCACTTGAAACCCACCTCCATTATTGGATGAGTGCACCATACGGGAAAGGAGCATAGAGGAAATGCATTTTGCATTTTGGCTGCTTGTCTTTTATCATACGGGAAAGGAGCATAGAGGAAATGCATTTTGCCTGCTTGTCTTTTACGATGACATAATGCATCTATAAACACTCCCTGTATGACCAAACGATAGTTTGTAAGCTTCAGGATGACTACCAACCCTTGTGTTTGAAAATGGAAATGAAACAAACAACATAAAGCCACCGTTATCCTGATTATAACTGTTATTACTGGTATTAACAGCATTTTTTTTTTTTGGTTGTCATTATATGGTATTATCAACGTTTGTGTCTCTCAGAAGATGGCCGATCGACTCGGAGGCCATGCGGTATTCATCAAAACGTACTTTAATTCCACAAATAGTTACAGGCTGCATCGAGTGATGATCAATCCTATAGCGGAGAATACCAGACTTCAGTTGAGGAATGCTTTTATGGTGGGGGGACAGGTAATGGTAGCTCTTAGGCACGCTGTCCTGTGATTGGTCATCACAGACTTGCAACTTCTGTGCGACAATCGGATTGGAATGTGTAACCGCCTCGCATTAAGTTTCGATTTGCATTTAGAGGCAACGCTCCAAACTACCCTGCATGAGATTAGACGTTTGTGTGTCTTGGTCATGGAAAATGTTGTGTGTGCGTGTGTTTCTACTTCCTTGGCAAGGTACACAACATCCTCGTGCTATAATGTCACCCCGAGATCCATTTAAGGTGGGTTATTTATTTAAGTGCTTGAATACCCAGCAATTAATTAATTAATTACACTGCATCAATTTCAATAACGACCACAGAGGTATAAAAGTGAACTTTATTTTTACATCTGAGGTAGAGTTTGCCAAACTTTCAGCAGTTAGGGGGAAACCAATCTTGAGTATTTTATTCTTTTTTTCAGGTAATTATTAATAACCACAGACAAAAACTTATTAAAATATACTAAGAGGACTTTAAAAATGTTTACACATGGCTACATACATCCCACTATTCTCAGGGATCAGAATGCACTATGAAGGTTGCTGCTGTTACTTTAATGGCAGATAGCCAACTTGCAAAGTTGTCATTTTTTTTCTTAGAGAGGCTTTGTGTTCCTTTAACCATTGCTGGCAGAGTTTGCGCAAGTGTTTAATGCAAAAGTAGGGAACCTGCAGTCCATAGGCCATACACAGCATGGTAGTCCTTTTGATCCAGGAACTAAAATGCCCACATTTTTAATTCATCATTGCACGATATTTGTTCTTAAATTGAGTCTGTATGGCGCTCCGAAAACGTTATAAAATCTGAAACGGGCCCTGGTAGAAACAGCAATAAAAGCAAACATGGCTCTCAACCTGCTTTATCTCGGAGACAATCTTTTCGGCCGCTACAGAAGTAAAACAGATTGGGGTAGGGGGTTGAAACAACATTAAAACTGGCATTACTGTTCCACTATAAGAAAAAGGGTAAAAGAGGATTAACATCGGTAAACCCAAACATAATGTGGGTTGTTACAAAACGGAGGCCTTCTGAGAGCTTTCCTGGGAAAACGGATGGGGGTGAGGGGCTGAAAATGGGCACGGAAGTTGTGACTGTAATTCTCAAAAACAACCCAACCCTGTTAAGACTGTCTCCTCACAGGGTCAGTTACGCTTATTTCACACTGTAACCGACATACACTTTATGTCAAGGACTTTGCAAACAAGAGGGACCAGCATTCCCGTGAGAAAAGATGCGAAAGCCAAATAGGAAGTCTTTCGATTAAGATGAAATACTGCATACATGGCAACAATCTCGTTACAACGACCAAATGACAATATACAATAAGGTTCATTAACCAGACATTGCAAAAATCGCTTTACGATAACTAAATGACAATATACAATAAGGTTTATAAAGTCGTGGGTTACGTCATGCGGAAGAAACGCTGTCCGGGTCATATGATAACAAGTTACATCTTTTTGCTGCAAATTACCGAACAATTACCGACGGACGATTTTTGCACATTCGTTCGACGAAACACTTCGCGATTATGTTGTTATTTAGTCGAGGTAACAGCGTGTACGTTTAGCTAAAAAAATCGCATGCCTTTCTTTGTCCCTAAATAATGACGCACAAACACAGTAGCTAGCATTTACCGTTAGCCAAGAGAAGCCAGGCTGGATGTGAGGTAGCGCTTCTCATCACCTCCGTAAAACCACAGACTCACCTGTATTGTATCGACGAGGTTGGAAGTCGGCTTGTTGTATAAAAATATAAAGAGTCTCAGACAGAGGTGTCGGCCAGACTGGAATTACAGCACGTCGCTGCTCAGGGTCTCTCGACGCCTCTTTGACGACTTGAAGGGGGATTCTGGAAAGTGACGTAACTTCAAAACCCCGCCCACACAGTGTGTGTCACATGACTTTTCTGCATTTCGTTACCCTTTAATAGTATTATTTAAAAATAAATAATAATAATAATAATAATAATAATAATAATAACGACGATGGTGATTGTCATTTTCAATGTTTTGGGAGTAAAAATTAAAACAAAAAAAAAAACCCACCAAAGATTTCAGTTGCCTCGAATCCACCTTTGTCAGCAAACACGAAAGAGCCGATAGCAGTTTTTGAAACAATGGAAAAACCTTTCACCACACCAAAAACTCTCACACTCACCAAATAACCTCCCATAGACAGAAATAATCTCACACGTCCAAACACACACTCACATGAAAACTCTTACTAAAACAAATCTCACATTCACCCCAAAGCTCTCACACATACTTACCCCATAAAATGACAACACTGAAAAACCTTTCACACACACACCAGCAAAACTCACATTCACGAACAAAAAGCCTCACACTCACCAAAAATCTCTCACAGGTAACCCCCCCCCAAAAAAACACTCACCCAAAAAAAGTCTCAAACTAAAAAAAAAAAAAAAAAAAGTGAATGATTACTTGTTTGAGGAAATACAGGGGAAAAACATAAGCTTGTGAGTACTGTACTTTCATTTTTATTTCTTTGTCGATCCTGCATAGTGCATTTACATACAACATACCAGCGTAAAACCACATAGTATAGAGGAGGACTGCTGCTTCACCAGTTGCAGCAACCACAACCAATGCCTTCTTCACTTATACTCCTTTATTTTTAAAAACATTTATTGTTGGATACATAACCACCAGGATCTCACCATTTTCTGATCCACAAGAAAAAAAACTATCACCTGAAAAATACTTACACAATTTTAGGAACAGGTATTTACAAAAACATAGTAGGGTGATGGTCACATTTCAAGCATTTGCCCCCTAAAAATCTAGTGAATGCCACCAAATTGTATTCTACCTCTGTTTTGTTTTGTGCTCTAAACGGGGGTTGAAAGATGTGTTGAAATTATTTAGGAAAAAAAAAAGAAATAAAAGCAAAGAAAATGAAAGGCTTTGCATGCAAGTTCGGCAAGGGTGGCTGTTGGAGGTCAACGTACAGGCACTAAACAGAAAAACTACATTTACAAATAACAATTGGCTCTACTCTGCACCCCTAACTAACATTCAATTCAGTTAGTATTGTACTGATGAGAAATAAAGAAAACTGTGGTGGTGAAATATATATCATTCTAAAGATCGCACTGTTGAAGCAGTCACTGCTAATTGTTCCTTTGGAAGCGATTAGCATACTCATGCAGAGTCAGCACCTGACAAATTGTTGTAGGTTTGATGAAACGGTAACCAACCATACTCTAATTCTGCTTCCTCCAGTTGTACTGCACATGAGTGGATTTCATGCAAAAATGTAATGCAAGTGTGTAATTATGATTTTCTGACTGCATTAGCATAGGTTAATGATGGAGTACATTGCATGTTGACTAGTAGTACCGTACAAACTTGGATTATGTTGCTGGTACTAAAATGGTCATAAACATAGGATCCCATGTATATTCCTGGCAGAAAACATGTCTCTAAAGAGTGTCCAAAAGTATCCAATAGGATACTTACATAAAAATCAACACAAAAAAAAAAAAGTTGTGCCTTCATCTCATTCTAGACCAAGGAGCTCGACATCAAAGATAAGGGTAGCGTTGGGAGGGATGAGGCCCGGGTGGCCTTTGGTTCCGTAGGCATAGTCAGGTGAACATGTCAGCTTGGCTCGCTGGCCCACACTCATCTGGAAGCGAGGAGGGGAAGGCAGACATTAAAAAAAAAAAAAAATGCTCATCAGATGCTCACAAGCAAGGATGTGACAAGGTTCATCACTCTGTGCACAACTGCGTGAGAAAATAATCCAGCAGTTTTAAGAAGAACATTGCTCAGCGTACAGTGTGCGGTGCTCTGATGAGTCCACATTTCAAATTGTTTTTGGAAAGCCAGCATATGTGGTGGTATGGGGATGTGTTAGCTAGCGCCCAGGGCAAGGTTAACTGGCACATCTATGAAGGTACCATTAATGCAGAAAGGTACATATAGATTTTGGAGCAATATATGCTGCCATCTAAGCAATTACCTGGTCAGGAAGACAATGCTACTTTGTAGTTAAAAGAGTGAAAAAACTACTACCACTACTCCTATGCATTACATCTGTTTGGTTGAATGATTTCTATTTCCCTTGCAGCGCTTTGTAGCATATGGTTAAGTGCTGAATGACATACAAGTTTCACATAGACACGCATTGTTATATTCCTCTTGGTAAAAAGAGTTTGTTGATTCACACACATCTCACCTGCACCACCCCTTCGTCCCAGCCTCGGATTACCTCCTGCATGCCCATTTTGAACCTTAAGGGCTTGGACCTGTCACGGGATGAGTCAAATTTGCGTCCGTCTGGAAATAGGCCTGCAAATACAGTCAGTTATACAACACGCAGCATCGCAGTGCAGAGCAGCTGCCTACACACATGTATTAGACATCAGTATGAATTCTTAGTTGAATTACATATCTGATTCATTCATTTTCCAAAAATTGCTCAATTTTAATATATTTATTTATTTATTATTTTATGCATTAAATAATTATCTAACTAAATTGTAAATAATCAAATACAGGGAAGAAATGGATGGAATTTGGATGCCCGAGAGTCTGGACCACCATCCTCCCTCTTTGTCACTGGAGTCTATGCAGGAGATCGGCATGCACATAATACCTAAAAAAAAACCCAAAAGATCCCCACTTGCGAATTATGTAAAATTGTCCGCTGCGAGTGGGCACTTGGAGACTGCCTTGTACCCGTGATGGTGCCACCACCCGCAACTCCACCACCACCCATAGTTGTGCCGCACGGTCAGGGGGATGCTATTAAAATAGGTTTGAGGTGATAATGATTATAATTCATTCAGTGAATTGATTTCTGCAATGAATATCACAGTGTGGGATCTGTCATATTCATGAATGAAATACAATGACATGCACCACATATGTCCACGAAGCTCAGAATCTGTCTGCCTGTGCCTTGGTCATATCCACAATTGCCTTACATGATCTGTGCCACAACTTAGACCTCGTTTTAGGTGGTCTAAACTCTAGTCTACTTTTGATCTCCAAATGGCCAGGTACACTCGGGGCGTGCAATACAATATGCCACAAAACCTACTGAGGTGTAGCGTGGTCTACCAAATTCACAACCAGGCTAAATTTATTTACTTATATACTTTTTGTTCTTTGACTTCTCCCTTTCATAATTTTGCTGCTGTAAATTGGGAATTTCTCCATTGTGAGACAAATAAAAGTTTTCTTATCTTATAAACTAGATTTTCCCCTTGCCACAAATGAAGTGCAGTCTTCTTTCTGTCGCCAAATAGTCAGGCTCTATCTGCAAGAATGGCCAGCGAGGTGTAACACGGTCTGACAAATTACCAAAGGCAGTAAACTAGACTTGTACCGGCATGAAAATGAAGATGCGCCCATTTTTACACCGAGCGCATTGGCACCTGTCTATTCAATCGAATGAGTTTCCTCCTTCTACATGAGTCTGTTGAACTTCATTGTGGGTGTTCACATTCACAACGAGAGGCTCATGAAGTAAAATATCCTGTTTCATGCTGAATTTCAAGGTTGCTTTGGTTTTCCTGAAAAAGCCGAGGAACCACACAGGATATGATGACGTTTGTGTTACATAAAAGAAAAAAAAGAATGGAAAAAAAGCAAATGCAGAGGCTTTGGAATGATCTTTCTGAAGCCCAAAACGGGCTAAGGCAGCACAAATGGGGCCATGTTACATCATCTTAAAGCACAGAGGCGCTTGTGTAGTGGGAGGAGGTGAGAACACTAGCCCAGTTCCTCCAAACTGGAACAGTTGCAAAAAAATAGCAAAACCAAAGAAGACGCAGCCTCAACACGGGGTGTTCAGAGAAGAAAGTGAAGAACAAGACAACACACAAGGACTTATATGAAGTAAGCAGCTCAAGCATCACGATTTGGCTAAATTTGACTTTTAAAACAAACGTGTATGAAAATGTCTAAAATACTTAATAAAAAGAATAAAAGAATAATAAAGAATTATCTTGTAATTTTATTTTTAATAATCAATGTATTTATGAATACATGAGCAATTATTTTGTGTACATTTTTAAAAAGTTGTATAAAACCTAACTGTATTTGCAATTTTTATGATTTAAAATAATAAAAACTAAACAACCAATAATTCAAAGATGTAATGAAAAAAAGAAAAGAAATAATTTAAATTAAACAATTCTAGGAGAAAAAATGTAAACCAATGGAATCAACATCACATGATTAGTCATCATGTAAACGCTCATTGGACAGAAAAAAAAAATGAAATGAAATGAAAAAACAGAGCTCGTCAAACGTAGCCCGGCAATAATATATTGGCCATTCTTCCACTGAATGTTCAGTGCACGCATAACACATTAAGCCATGAAATGTTTCACGTACATATGACGTTGTTGTCAAAATGACTGCTCGCTGCATGGACCAGCAAGAATCGATAACGTTGCACTATAATACGTACGCCAGGCCAGTAGTTGGCGATGTCAATTTGTCGAGCTAAAGAGTCTGTCCTTCCTGGTCTGATCCAAAACACTCTTGCGAAAAACCTACGTTGGCGTATGTATGATTCACGAAATTAGGTCGTAAATCGGATATGTACAAACGTATGTATGAATCACGAAATAAGTCGTACATGTACAAATGTACACATGATTGCAATTAGTAAATAAACACTGACAGATACGGACTGAGCCCCGTTGCGACTAGCGCCCCCCTCCACCCACACAAAAAAAAAAAAAACGTGAGTAATTCACTTCCCTCTCAAATGTTTAGATTTGTCTTTCCTGTTAGATATGTTAACTTCAACAAAGTTACTTGGAACCAAGACGGGACTTTGGCTGTAAAGTGGAGATTTAGTGCCATCTTGTGGCATCTCAGAGTGTTCCAGAGAGCACAAAAAAGAGAATAGGCATGTTTTTCGCGATTAAAGGAGGATAGGTTTCACAAAAATGTATTAAAATCGGTAATAATGCTTACCAACATAATGCACCACGCAGGTCTGCCCCTTTTTAGGGAAAGTTCTTCCTATGGAAACGAATAGTCATGTAATTCATGGTATAGGAATGCTGCAGTTACATATTTTTGTTAAATAATAAAATATTTTTTTAAAAGAGGAAAGAAAAAGTGAACTTATCTTACCGTCGCCGGGAATAATGGTTTCTATTTCTACTCCCATGTCCTGGTCGCGTAATCGATCTTTACTAGGCAAGACCGGCCCCACAGCGCGTGTACCTCTACTTGGTGGATGTCTGCAGACTGCACTTGCTGCATTCAAGCAGCCTTTACTAGTCTGCGCGTACAGTAGCTTGTCGCCTTGATGATGCACAATTTTTCCGGTCTGATTCTTCAAAGTAAAAGCTTTTTTTTTTTGGGAGTGGGAGTGCCTATCTAGGAGGGGGGGAAAAAAAAGAATAAATCATTTTCAAGACAAGTTTGGTCCTTACAAATTTTCCAGGATACTAAAACCCGAAACTCAGTTTTAAACTCTGTATTGAAAATCTATCCGTAGTTTGAAACTCAAATCCTAGTATGAAACATTAATTTGAAAATGATAGACAACCACTCAAGAAAAACTCGGGTCTTTTGGGGAATGAACAAAATTGACATTTTTCCGGAGAAAAATGTCAATTTTATGAATGACCTGGTCCATATGTCAATTTTTCGGAGAAAATGTCAATTTTGGGGGAAACAGAATATTTGGAATTAATTCAGCCTTTACACGTTAAATCCTAGAATCGTTACTGCGAGTGAGGTCAGTGGATTTGTGGGAGATGAGCACCTAGCAACAACTTGTATTCCTCCTTTGTGAACCACGCCAAAATTGTTTTGTTCATCCAGTTGATTATTAACCAACTATGTATACATTTGGTTTGATATTGATGAAAGCTATTAGGGTTACATTTTATTATGAATGACCTGGTCCATATGTCCATTGTGTTAATCAAAATGTTTGTCTGCCCTACGTGTAGCACAACATAACTAATTCTATCATTTCTTCCTTTATTTTTTGTGTTTTATCTGACCCATCTTCACTGTTGATTTGCAGCTCAGTAGTTGACGTGGGTGTTGTGCTGAGGGCTCCATACAAGAGCAGATAATCATCTTGGTGTGGGCATGTCCATGGAGATAAACGCTGATGTCCACCACAGTCAAAGCAGAACTTGATATCGTGAAAAACGCTGCTTATCCTACACAGAACCATGACCAGAATGCAACTCTAATGTCAGAAACCAGGAGTGAGGCTTGTTGACCAACAATTTGTACCGTATGTTGAAACAATTTCTCTCTATTAAAATCAAATCAGTTTTCCCCTCACGAAACTTTCCATCGATTCTTACACCCCTATAGAAAAATCAAAATTTTTTTTCAAAACAAGCTTTGGTTTTTTTTCGTTCTGCTATTCACTTCATTTCCCTTGATACCAAACCAGCTTTGCAACTGTTTTTCCAGCATTAACTTCAATAGAAATAATGAACATATATATTTTTTGAACCCAAGTGGTTCCTCTTAAAAATATATATATAAATAATAATAATAATAATAATACATGGCCCTTTTGTCAAAATGTCTATGCAAACACATCCTTCATAACTTAACATTGTAAATGTTCCAGCAATTTAACATGATAAAATGAGCTGTAAGCCTCTTTATAGTAGTACAGGTTCGGTAAAATATTTGGAGCTTGGAAGCACAAATGTCTTCAACATGTCAAGACATGACAGCTCTGAACTGTTCTAAAAGTAGTTTGGCTGTTCATTTAAAAAATTAAAATAAAATTTAAATGACCATAAAAAATCCACATTGGATAACAATATCTGGTTGCACACCCAAACTGTATGGATTCAATCTTGCAGACAAATCAAGCAGGAAGTTGAGTATTATCCTGTGTTAACAGCATTCCCATTTTTATAGACTGACATAAAGATGAATCCAAAATACAGTACGGCATTTATTTCTATAATCACGCTGACATGTATTTCCCCAGTAACATGGAAAACACAAGAGCCCGCCTCTACACATAGACCATAAAATGAATTTATTTCCTCAGGAGGTCCAAACATATTCCCATGTTGCCCCAGGATGCATAGAAGATGTCCACCTTCCACAGCTACAAGCCAGTGTTTACAATCTACAATATGAACACTTATTATTCAATAATCAGTTCATATTAATAATAAACCAATAACCATCGGTGATGCCACGTGAAAACAAAACCCTGCAGTTTAGCTGGGATAGTCATCATATACTGTAAATCAAAACAAGAAAACTCATAGCTAATTTGAACCAAAATTGACTTTTTTTGTAGTTTGTCCATTTGTTCCACATAAGCAACAATGTAGGTGCGTGTGAATTTAGAACCAAATGAGTGTGAACTCGGCTACTTTATTCATGGGCACCATGTACTGTAGCTGTCAAGGCTAGAAAACCGGCAACATCTCTTCTTCGGCTGTCAGCATGAACGAGAGATCAATGCTAGAGATAATTCCTTTTAGAAAACAAAAATGAGAAATTAAGAGGTCCAAACAGAAGTCTGTGTCTCCTCCTCCTCAGGGAGGAGCAGCAGGTGCCAAGGAGGGGGGGAAAGGTGGGCCGCTCGGGGGTTGGGCGGTGGTCTTCACCTCCAGCCTCATTGTAGCCGCTGCACAATGACGGCGTTGAGGAGGTTGGCCTGCTGAAGTGTCTGGCTCTCGTCTGACAGCTCCTTGTTGGGGAAGGTGGTCATCAGGACGAACGCTCTGGCGGCCATGGTGGGCCGGGCCGCCACCACAAACTGCCGCAGGTCAGACACCCTGGTGGGTGCAGAGAACGCAAGCTGACATCACAAAAGCTAAACCTTCAAGCCTGATGTCCTCAGCATTTAGTAGCAATAATTTTGGATGATCGCCTCCATCCGAAGCAGCCAAAGTTTCTTTAATGAGATCCCTCTGGTACCTGTGGGTATGGTTGAATTTTTGAATCAGCCTGCCGCCGTCTGCCAGTCGGATCTGAATGTTGGTGATGGGCTGGGAGGTGTCCAGGCTCACGGAGGCACTGGCCTGGGCTTCGTTCGCCGCCTGGTCCTGCTGAGAGGGGGCGGGGGCTGAAACCAACTCTGGGGCGGCACTGGGAGAAGAAAACATGCACAAGCATAAAACGAACAGCACCAAGCCACGTTAAACTTGTTCTCAATAAATTTGCTTGTCAATCATTCTTGCAAATCGGACACTTGTCTTATTTACGACAATATTTTTTCTCCATTTTTCTCTGATCACATGAAACGAGTGAAAAGAAGAATTCTTTTGTTCGGAAGACAGTGTTTTAAGTCCCCTTTCTAAATGTGTATTATGGTCCACTAACAATAAATAATAATGGGGGCGGGAGGTGTGAATAAAACAGTAAAAGAAGACCTCCTAAATCTCACCTTCCGAGTTTTTGTCCCTCTCCTCCAAAGGCTCTGAAGGCCATTTTGGGTTTGGTGAAGTCCTCGTCTCTGTGGTCCTCCATGTCCAGATTGACCTGGCCCCCACGTGAACGCTGCCTTAGCTCTAAGGGAATCTCCCTGCAGCATGACAATAACATTCATCAAGGTGGAGCAGCGTACGCGCATATGTGTGTTGTACAATTTTGCAGCGTGTCACAACCAAAACATTAACATGTCATATTCACTCAACAAGTAAATAGTTACCCTCTGCGGATTGCCTCAAGGAAGTGAGCATTTCCAGGATCATTGTAGTTTCGGAGTTCGCCGTCATCCAGACTGAAACCGGTCTTCCACAGTTTCAGCACAACGTGTACCTAACATGGTAAAAAGAAATACAGTTAGGAATGTATTGTGCTTTTACCATTCAAAAACATTAAAGTGTCATGCCATGCTCAATACAAGTTTGTGTGCTTCATGTGCAAGGCGCCCGTCCATAGATGTTGTGTTAAACCATACATTACATGCACCCCCCCCCACACACACTTTATCCACACCATGTAGTGCTCATCTAGAGCACTTTATCCACGCCATGTGACGCTCAAAGCACTTTACAAAAATAAATGTGTGTGGGTGGGTGGTTGGTTGCGACTGCATTGTAGTGAGTTAATAAGAGCAAATATGATAACAAAATAAATAAATATATAAATGGCCATAGCGTCTACTCACATCCTGTTGGGCATTGGGATCGCGTCTCCCAGCAGAAACGTATGTTGATTCCTCCTCAGGAGCTGCTCCTAACCTGTAACCGCCTCCGTCGAAGGCCTAGGACATGAGAAGACAAAGAAACATAAAATATCCAAACCTAAAAACTGAAAAACAGTTCAAAGTGTTTCTTTCGTTTACTTTTGCTTTGCTAGATTCTCCTGCCCCTTTCCCACTGCGCTCCAGAGGCACAGCGCCGTGTTCTCTGGCCCCTTTGAACAGATCTTCCACCACATCGTTGGGACTCTTCTTTTTCGGAGGCCCTACGATTTGCTGCCCACTGCGTTCTGATCCGCCTGCGAAGAACCTGAAGGGAGGCACATCGTCGATTACCCGACTAAAGGGTCTCTTACAAAATTTGGAAGAACTGCTAACTACCAGATCACAGTTAAAGAGGCCAAAAGAACATTTATCACACCTAATTCAGGCTAAGCGGCAAAACCCACATGTACCATTTAAAACTATTGATTCTGTACTTAAACCCCTTCAGTCAATTTGCTCAGACTCTTCACCCGAAATGGGGAACAGATACCTTCAGTTTTTCATTGATGAAGTTTCTAGAGCTGGGACTCTTGTTTCAAATACCACATTTGCCCCCTCTCTTCATGTTCCGTGTTTAGCTGTGCTAAATTCTTTTGATACAGTTAAAATCTTTCCTGGATGACCAGTCAGGTTTGAAGATGATGTATAGCACAGAGTGAACCCTGTTACAAGATTTTAATGATATCATTTGACAAGGTTTTGACGGTCAGTCAAGATGGCGCCGTAGTTGGCAGCCGTCTGCAAGAGCTCTGCTTTTTTGTTTTTATCTTCCTTGGAAATTTGGATTTTGTCCAGGTGGAAGAATATACCGATCGGTATAACGTTATCACTCACTTTTGCTTTCACACACTAAAAATAAATTCTACCGATTTACTGACTGACCTTTGACCTTCCTCCTCATCACTGTCGTCGTCTGCTTCGTGCCTCAAGTCCCTGAATGACGTCACTCGGTGCTGAGAACTGGTGATGGGGGGAAAAAAAAAAGGCACAGTTATGTTAAATGGAATGTACACTCAGGTTCAAGTGCCCAACTCCTGTTTGACTTTTATTACTGCCAATTTCAATGTGTAATTCAAGTGACACATAGTGAAGGTGGCTTTGTTTACACTGACGTAACACATGAAAATCCTGCATCAGTAGAGGGCTAAGGTGCATGTAAATTACTCTACAACTGTCAGAAAAATTAGACATTAGTCCAAACTTTTGACTCGTAGTGTAAATACATGGAATACAAAATTTTAATTCATGTCGAGACTGCGTAGACAGACTCTTCCCCTCCAACTGAAATAAAGGATACAGTGGATCCGCGCGGATTCACCTTATTTATTATTTAATTGAGATGATCTTTTTTTGCTCTCATGGTAATGCAGTTATTTTACACCAAGGCCCAATCAATAGTGTGCACAGCATATATTACAATGAATGACAACCTTGGTACAATGGATCTGGAGATTGAGGAACCTCCTTCAGGGTGAGGCAGAGCCACGATGTCATCATCAGCTCCATCCTCAAAGAAACTACCAAGTGCAAGCTGTGACAAGGCAAGAGAGAACACCATTCAGTAACAAATTAAGTTGTAGAATTATATTTGCCTCGAGGATTGATTTGCTTTAAAGATACAATTCATGTTGTTCAGAAAGGTTTTTGGCATCTCTTGAGTGACCGTGTGAAAAAAGGCACTCATTTTGCATTGAAATAGATGAACCGGAAGACCCGTGACAGATTCGTACTTGAAATTGCAAGTTAATGGCGTGAACCCAATGAGCACTTAAACTGGTTAAATAGTAGTCACGAATCCTACTTGAATGAATAATTGAACTTAATGCACCTTCATGTATTTATTTTAATTTGTTGCATTATGTATTTATTTTGTTGCATTTTATATACATATATATATGTAATTATATACACACACACGCGCGCACACACACACACACACACACACACACGCACAAATCTGTTATAAGATAAGGTAAGCTTTATTTGTCCCACATTATAAATACATGGAGAAAACTGGCATTCATTGAATGTAGTTTAGAGGAAAAACACTTTTATGGGGTTAACGTATAGGCCGCTTTGATGCCTGCCTACCAATATGTCATCGCACCAATGTAATTAGACTAGGAAAAGCAACAACGTTGTCTACTTGTCAAGCAAGTGTTGTCGAAATGTGGATTCAAAAGCAAAAGAGCCAGGCAGTAAGGGCTTCTCTGAGAAGGGAATGCAGTACATTTATAATATAAATACGTTCTCTGTTGTGATGAGTGCACGATCGCCTCAGCTTTTTGACGTCATCTGTACTTTAAACGCAGCCACTTAAACGGTCAAAGTAACAACGATTTTGTCCCCACTATTGCATGCTAACTAGCTACACAGGCTCTTAACAAACTGGTGCCACACTTTGTCTAGTTGCAAAAACAAAAGGGTGACATTTGGAGAATCCGCATCTATACGATACTTACTAATTACTTTTTTTAACAGCCGCAGCGTTTTTGACAGAAAAAGACTCGCGGCTATTGTCAGTCAGTGACTTGCAGAAATTACCGGCAAAACACGCTAACATTAGCCGGGGTGCTAACTCGCTCGCAGTTATGTTGTCTGACTTTACATCCCGCAGAAGATCGCAACCAAGGGCATCATCCGTGTAAAACCCGTACCTGCAAATTCCAACCAGCAGACTCTAAGAAGAAGCGGGCCCTCTCCTCGTCGACATCAGTAACAGCCACGAACTCCCGTACAGAATCCTCTTGGCTCGCCATTTTTGTTTGTTCGTTCGGCACTGCTTCCGCTTCCGGCTCAGAAACAAGCCACATACGTCCTTTCCTATTTGGTTCCAATCCACGCGTCGCAATAACATGTAAACAAACATAAATAATTGACTGCAAAGACTACAACATTCATATTTGTCATTAAAACAATTCGCCTTTGGTTATTCCAATCTCATTTTTGTTTTATTTGCTAAATAAATGCTAAATAAATTTGACCACGAGATGGTAATGTGTCCTCACAAGAAAGGAGACCATAACGACCCTCGTCTGAAAGTGTAGTCATAAAGAACTACTTTAAACACTTTTTATCAAATGGTTGTGATGGAGTTACCAGACTGGTGGTTAATAAAATTATTGCTCAATTCCTTTGTTTGTCTTCTGAACGATCCCCGGAGACAACACCTCAGACAGACAGAAAGATGGATTGACAGACAGACAAGATATTTGAAATTTTATTTTTTGCAACAGGTAATAATTATACCCGTCAAGCAGAAATGTTGCTAATTTTACGTTAGTTCTGAATACTCTAAGCTGCCTCTGGCACCCCCACCTCTGAAAGGCAGCATCACCCCCCTGTTCATGTCCGTCCAATTACTTCCTTTTAAATTTTTATTCCCAATGGGAGGTAGATATTCTGCCATAGTTGAAGAAAAACTCAAAATGTCAACATGAGGTAACAGGGGTATGCCCACAAGATGGCAAAAGTTAGATACTTTCGCACACCAAGGTCACACTTTCTGTTTCTGGTTGTTTTTCCTCAGACTCCGTGAGACTTCTAAAAGTCAAGTTAAGGGTACTGTACTAGATGGTGCCAAGGGTTGGGAGGGGTTCACAGATTTTTTTTTTAATCTACCACGAATGGGTTTATAATGAATTTACTTTTTTTTTTTTTTTAATCTACCACGAATGGGTTTATACTGAATTTTTTTTTTACAAATATGACAAAAAGTGTGAGTGTGTGTGTGTGGGGGGGGGGTTGTGTTTAATTGTATCGATCTCGCTTTTCGATTAATGGTTTCTTAAAACGGCAATCCTCACTAATTCCATATTTGATCACAATTTGTAATCCCCCCTGTCACGTTTTAAATGTGAAACTCACCTCGTTGACACATCAAAGAGAGTAAATTACTGCTGGAAGCTCTTTTTAACACAGCACAAGAAATCCAATCCAGTGACACAATGCAAATAAAAGTGGGTCGGATGGGTCGTCAGTGTCGTCACTGTTTCCCAGAATAAAGGTAATTACAGCCACCTTGTGGCGTCTTTTTGAGGTTCAGCTTTCAGTTTTGTAAGAAGAGCACACATCCAGCTTTTTATTGGGGCACAGCAACGATTAAAGTGATCGTCACTTTTTGACTAAACAAGGTACAGTCCACTCAAAAAAACTAAGTGTAGTAAGATCATAAAATAACAAATGTGTAGGGAAATATGGTACTCACAAAAAAATAAAAAATAAAAATCCAAAAGAACATAATAATAGCATTAGCGGTAATGGAAAAAAAAAAACCCGAATGCATTACAATGAGATTCAGCAGCGGTGTTTATAATGTTCTCCTTTTTGAATATTCCACCTTAAGGGTAGACACAGTGAGGCAATAGCACCCAGATACATGCCGATGAGCCAAAGAAGCAAAGCCATGAATAGATCAAAGAGAGAAACTATCAATCAATAGAGGCCTCGGGGGAAATAGCAATATGTCGTGACCTTACGTTCTCTTTTCCCTGGGCACAGGTTTTTGGGAGTTTTTTTATTACCGGTACCTAAGTCTCAGCGAATTGAAACACTAGGAGTTTGTTACTATAAATGTATGTATCTATACAAGTGCATCACAATTTTTAATAATCTAGAAAAGTTCATTTATTGCAGAAGTTCAATTCAATAAGTGAAACTCATTTAGATAGGAAAGGAATAGACAATACATTTCAAAAGGCCAACTCCTACCTAATTTCTTTATTTAAAATATTTTGAGGTAATGTGTAAATGTTTTCATATGAATTTGGGGTGTTTGTTGTAACCTGGAATCAAAATAATAAAATCAGCTTTGTGTGTCAAACTCCTCTTGCTCGGGTGTCGGTCAGCATCGTAACTCTCCTCAGCCAGTAGTGACAGTGCTTTCTGGGGGGTCAAGACTTTGTGTTGAGTTAACAGCCCAGCTAAAGGTCAGCAGAGTTACAGAGCATGGAATGCCCTCAGAACGTTCAGCAGTGATTTAGGATGCTAGCTGTCGCTGAATTTGAAAAAAAAGGCAACGCTTAAACTTTGAATTTATCTGTCACTTCCTTGCAGTCATGTAGCATTTTTGTCTGTCAGGGGGCCAGATTTGGCCAGCCTCATCATCTTATGTAGCCCGCGAAAGCAACTTATGTTCATCAACTTCATGTTTCTCGCTAAAATAACATAACTTGAAAACTGTCTTCAGTTTTAAAAATGTTGCGATATTGCAAGCATTGTAATAAAGCAGTGCCCATTTTAACATCAGTGTAATAATATTTGTTAATTTCCTTTGATTTCAAAAATAGTTATTCATCAATTTGTCGATGTAATGAGAGGCTCTCCAAAGGAAACAATAGCTACGATGTGGCCATCGACAAAAATGAGTTTGACACATCTGAGCTACTCTAATACCTTGTCAGCTGTTGTTTTGTATGATAAACAATGGAATGCATTGTTGGAATGCAACTTCCTCGTCATGGAAAACAATTTTCTTTCACATTTTCAGCAGTCTGAAAATTAATGCTATCCTACTGCAATAATAACAAAGAAAAAAAATCATCATTAAAATTCTTGATCAATCAAATTGGTTGAAGGGACATTCTTCGTGTACTGACACCCACGCCTTGGTATGTCCCTGTGAAAGAATTTTTAAGGATCAGTCATCAGCATAGGAGCACAAGTTGAGAACAATGGCTGCCTTGAGGGAGACTGTCAATCTCAGGCTTGGACCAACTCTAATTACAAACCGTCAGACACACAATACACAAGTGCACACAATACTGAACCGCCTTACCTCATTCTTTTTTCTTTTTTTTTTTTGCCCTCAATACCTTGGAAGGTGATCAACGGTGAGTTTTTCTGTGTGACTTTGGTCCTTTTCTTAGATCAGAATTGAAACTTGCCAAAGAGTACCGGTAAGTACAATTCTCCAAACAGTCCGTGCAAATAGCAAAACAGCATGGTTCACCTGCAAAAGAAATTTCTGAACCAAAATCCTTAAAAGTTGACATCTGTGTCAGTCGATATCACAATGAGATGGTGGGTCAACAAATTGTAGGACAAACAGCAAAAGGCGTAAATGTGAATTTTGTCCAATCAATCTTTCACATACACAATGGTATAACTTATAAAATCGGAATGTTCACTCCCATAACAGCGCAAATGGCCATTTGTAATTGCGCATAACTACAAAACGAAAGAAAACTAAACCGCACTTTCCGCGAGACTCTCTCTCTTTCTGTCTCTCTTTTTCAGTGCAACATAAGAATGTATAATGTGAATAGTATAGTTCAATGTATTTTTTGCGATTAGTTTTTTTAATGTTTTATTTTGGATGATATTTTAAAATCATGTATTCAAATGTAATGTATTCAAGTAAGAATTGAAGCCACGATTCAATCTTCAATCTTCATTGATTTTTTTTATAAAAACTACTGTTGCATTTAGCCAATTTGCGTGTTTTCCTTTCTTATTCCATTCAACAAAAAATATCAAATATTTTGTTAATTTAATCAAAACAAAATGTGAAAATTAGACAAACATTATTTGTGAGATTAAACACAGTAGAATTTTATTCGGTGAAGTCAGATTGTGTGAGACAGAGACACTGCTCGTATCAACAGGAAAAGGGAAAGGAGGAAGGGGCTTATTATCTCTTATCCTCGCTCCACCGGTAGTTTGGATACTTTTACATCTCTTGAGCCAAATGGAACAGGGCGCATCTCCATGGCAGCAGACAATCACTCCACACAGTTGGCAGAAGCAGGAACGTTTTTACATGGGTGGGAAGTGGGGGCTATTGGTTAGGCACCAATAGTTTAGGGAAACCTGCAGAGCTCTGTTTTATTGTTTGATGTGCCATTTTTTCCTTCCAATTTATCTTTGAATAACTCTGGATGGCTGGAATTACACTAAAGTATATGTTTCAAACATTTTTTTTTCCTTCCATGTGTTAGTGACTAAGTGACCATTCGCTAAGCCACGCGACAGATGCACAGAGCGGCCAACCAAAGTGCAGTCAGGAATAGGTTCTAATAGATCTTTGTCATTTCGAGCACCACTCCTTTGAATTCATTTCATTCTGCTCATTTCACGGTTATGAGTTGCAAGCGATGCAAAAATACTGTACGCACATCATGCAGCAACAGCAATAAATCGCGCTCACCTCCCACAGCACGTACTGCTTTTCAATGGGCTGTTTACTAAATTGGGCCGAAAAGTGTTTTGATACAAATACATTTCAAGGATACAAACCTGCGATAACGAACACATTTGTGAAGTGTCACAAAGCACGCTTCGCGATTGCTTTTCCTTCGATTGTTTTGCATTTATTGCCTTGAATCGATCATATGCTAATATTTACTGTCATTAATTTTATGCGTCTTACTTCAATACCGTTGGCATAGGTTTGTGAGAAGACGACGGCGCTTTCCAACTTACAGTCAGTACAAATTTGGGCTAATGGGAATGGAATACATCGTGATTTATTATTTTTTTTTTTTAAAGTTTGAAATCATAAATGATTTCTGTACATTTTTATGTACTGTTTCACATTTGCTGAGTTGCTGTCATTTTTGATTTATGACTAAATACACCATTAGTATGTTTGTCGTCGTGACGATAGTTCCTGTTTGATTCATTCAGTGGATGAAAAAGTAAGGCAAAAGAGAAGACAGTGGCAGTCAGGTACAGCACAATGCACGTTTCGTGAAAAGAACGGGGCGTGACTGACAAATGTATGAAAGACAAGCTAAGAGAAGTATTCTTTGAACGGGCACTGTGTACAATGCTTTCGCTGCATGGTTGTTGTTACT